ATTTGAATTCTCGAGTGCGGGAGTGCTATAAATGCACATCGTAATGATATAACGAATAATAATAAAATTATAGTTGTTGCATTTATGTTTGAAAATATATGAAAATAATAGTTAGTAGTTTAGTACATCGATCTTTTTACGAATTTTACGAAATTTGCATATTGGTATATTATATATTTTTTTAAGAATCTCGTATTTTAAGTTTTGAAAATCAACTAAACTGATGTTGCAATTAGAAATTCTGTTACGAGACGAGTTATGTGTTGGAGGACTCAAGCTCAAACTTAATGACCATTTACCCACAAAATACATAGATTCAATCCCTTAATATCTTTACAAATTTAAACGATTATTACTGCAAAATTGCGTCTGAATAAAGTATACACCTATATTATCTTATGTAGTTAAATTCAAATTTAGTAAAAATCAACACAATTTTTCTGCTTATAATTATATATAATATTACCAACTGAAATCTAGCTATTATTACTTATTGTACCTTCCATCAATTACCTAACGGAAATATTTATGATAATAGCGAAAACAATAATAATATTCAAAACACGGATAGAAAATTGATAACCTAAATGAATATTTGAATTGGTTTGTTTTTAAAAAATAACTAACTACAACATAATGACACAAAATATCTACGAAAATAGGAAGTATTTTTGATAATAGTTGAAACAATAATATTTAAAACAATAATAGGACATGGATATGATATACGAATATTATACGAATTTGTTAAATTTGAAAAAAATACTTAATCGAATAACTAAGCAAATTTTCGAGTTAACGTATAGAACAATAGATTACAATATATTTTAAACAAAATCAAAACCAACACAATCTGCRATGTTATGATCTACTGGATTAGTTGGTATACCTAGTTTACCTACTTTAACTATAGGTATAGGTACCTATATCAGTATAATGTTCCGAAATAAAATTACAATACAATATTATAGGAATAMATGGGTTTTTTWAATTCAAAATGTTGAAGTATATTTTATAATGAATTTCTAATACTCCRAAAATTGACAGAAATATGAATAGTATAACATAATATTTTGATTGAATAGAAATCACGTTTTGTGTAGGGAGAAAATGTACCAACAAAAATAAATACGGGCACAATGATTATTTAAATGTAATAATCTACAACGAACATGTATAACAAATAAAAATAATATTTATATTAMAATAATTAAACTATATCAGCCYAATGTTCAAATAATAATGAAATATATACCCATAATATACAAAACATAAATAAATGGGAATGATATTAKATACTAGTCATAATACATATTTTCAAACCATTAAACAATAACAATTATAAAACACAAATTCGTCCATTTAATATTATATTAATTTATTGATTACAGCATATTATAATATAAGCAATAACCTAACCATAATAAATAAATATAATAAATATTAGCAGATTAATATATTATTATAATGACGAATGAAACTAATTTCCTATAGTGAAATATTTTACTCCTAATTATATTTTATCGAATGGTAGAAATATTCAAATGCACAAAAAGATTATTGTTTTAYAAATATAAATCAAGTATATAATATACTATTTTATAATTGCTGTAAAAATGAAAACTATTTCATGTTAAAAAATTAATGTAATAATTAGTGATGTAAAGTTATGAATATTTTTTACCATTCAACACAAACATAATAATATTGTAAATAATAAAAATATTAATATAAAATATATTACCTAATCGATCTGGCGTGGTGATGGGGTCCGGCATGTGGATCACAGAGGCGGACGCGATGGCCACGAAGACCATCGCAGACACGATGCCTCGGAAGATCATCTCGAGAGATGAAAATCCGTTCGACAAAAAAAAGTAAACGCTAAAAAGCAAAGTGGAATAGAAAAATGGAACGCGATCAAAACAAGTCCGAGAGAGGACAAGTACTTGGAAAAGGAAACGGTGCGAGTGAGTGCCGAATGAGCTCGGACGGGCCCTTAAATAGGCCAGCTCGGCCACCGGTTCGGCGGCGTTCGCGCGCACTCAGCGCCACTGCGGCGGCGGCATCGACGGCGGCAGCAAATCGCATGCCGGCGCCCATCGACGCCACGGTCTTGGAGGATGTGCCGCCGCCGCCACGACGCCGGAGCAGAAGTCGGGTGGGTGTGGTGTACGGCGACGAAACAAAACGCGTTTGTAGCCGCCGCACTAAGCCGTTTCCCCAACCCACCACCCAGTCGCACTCACACCGACATGATGCCGCCCGGACGCTACTAGCGGCGGCGGCGGCGGCGGCGGACAGCCGATGAGCTCCGCGCAGCGAGTATGGCGATGACGGAACGCTTCGTTTCTCTAGGGTTTTTTTTTCTTTCAAATCTAACGTYTTTCCGTTAYGAAAAACGGAAGATTCTCGAAGATTYTCCGTCATCGAAAATAATGCAGTCGTAGTAATGAAAAATATTTCTTCAGTTTCCGTTTCTTGATGTGCAGGGCAACGAGTCGAATCGACGTGTATATACCTATACTTCATAATTTATGAACTGCGCTGTAATAAGATCGTTATAATATTAATTGTTAACAGTAATTATAATGTAGTCGACAAAAATAATAAATTTAATTCGCATGCAAGTGTATAATGATGTCAATAATAGGTAGGTAATAAAAAATATTGGTTTTTGGTTTAACTAGTTTGAAAATAATTTGATCTATACTTTTTTAATAACGCTTGTACACGAATATATTATAATATCACATCATAAAGAGTTTGTGCCTATATTATACATACCTATGTCATGCCCTATAATAACTTAGGATTTTCCATAAAATATATTATTTTAACTAGAAAATTATGGTAGGTACCTTACATTCTTTTTATTTAAAACCGGATGATGTGTGTAGGTACCTACAGAAATATTAATATGACGTATAAAACAATTAAAGCCAGAAAATTCAAAAACGTTTTTAATTTTGACTAGATAGATCAATATTTAAATCAAATGAATAAACCTAAGTTATTTCAATGACCAAATAAAGTATAGTTGAATTTTTAAGATAATTATAGAAAATTAACAAACTATTATTAATATAAAAAGTAAAAAAATAAATATTTTGACGAGTTAATAAGTATAGTGCCATATAATATAAACCTATGTAAATATAATGTTGTCTCATTTCCGWCGGTTTATTCTTTTTACACATACCTAATAGTCATAGACCTTATACTCATAGTATAAGGTCTATGCTAATATTACACAGATGGTTATAATATCTATTGCT